AAATGCAGACAAAATGTATGTTTTATTTGTTTTTCAATTTTAATCGTTTTTGTTTTATTCATGCAACATAAGCCTTATGCAGTTGCAGCATTACAACTATTATAATATGAAAGAAACATTTAATTCCTTACTTTTTAAAATAAAATTCGTTTTTACCTGACTAACTTGACTGCATGGTTGGTACGGTGGCTGGGCAACCGGCTGCCGTGCAGTGTGTCAGGGGTTTGATTCCCGTACGGAACAACAATTTGTGTGATGCACAAATTATTGTTTCGTATGTGTATGTGAATTTGTACATTTGTAAGCGCACCCACGACACAAGAGAAAATCCCAGTGCGGGGCAACGTTTTTTAAAAAGAAAGAAAGAAGTTTTTACCATCACCTGTCTATGTTTTTATGGAATCATTCTTCTTACATGTATTATTGTATAAATGAAAGGTTTTTAATCTTATACCCTTATTACTAGTTCATCTATCAAGGAAGGCTATAAAACATCAGGCTACAATCAATAGGAGCAGAGCAGAGTGGGTGAAACAGCACAGAAGTAGCGAGTATTAACATTTTAACACCTTGAGGTGTTATTTATTTGTTAAAGTAATTCACATTTTATGTTTAGTATGCATACAAAACATGTCAAGCCTTCTTGGTATGTGGATACCCACCTATTTTCTATTAGAATCCTTTGATAACAATGATTTTATTTTCTTTTTAAATAACAAAAGTTCCAAACATTCACAGCTACTTTAGATATTATGCTTATAATTCATATTATTATTTGTGATAACAATTCATTTGTTAGAAAGTTACCCCCTAGCAATGGCCTTGGCTTAGTGTGAAAATAACTACAATTCAGAATGGAGAACTAACTACAATAAATAACAGATACACATTTTATGATTGTCAAAACTACTTGTTTTTTTTTTAAATAAAATAGATGAAGTGATTTTGACTGCATGATACTATCAGTCAGACCAATTCTTCTTACCACTACCAAAATATTCTGATATACACTAAAACATAATACTACTTCTCTCACTGACCATGTTCTGTTTAAATGACAAATGAAACAGTAAATGAAGATGCACCCAAGTTGCAGAATTCATTTTTTTTTAATATTGTTGCTTTTATTCAATTATTTTCGATAACAATTTCAGTTTGTATTTCATTAAATAAAAAATCCGGATTAGAAAAACAGTGGCACTAATATTTATTCATAAATCAAGTGTTTAGTGAACACCGCTAGTTTTTGTCATAATAAATAATTATTTTTAACAATTTACTACCAATAAAGTTAGTCAGACCCACTGACTCAGATCCTTAGGGACGGAATAATTCATGTAGAATGTTAAACCTATTTTCATTGCATTTTTTAATTGATACATACAATATTAGAACTTTTAAAATAATATACAAATATTATACTTAATTAAACAAATATTTCAGGTTTACCTACTAAAACATAAAACAAATTAGAAACATGACAAATATTAAAGTTCATTCACGAAGGTTCAGAACTTCAGATCATTATTATGATGCGTAATGTAATCATACAGATAACGTTACGTGATTAACCTACCTGTATCACGACATTCCGCATAGAGCCGTCTTAAACTTTTAAATGAAAATTTTTGCTTAGCTTACCTGTCATAAACTTTATTCTTCAAATCTACAGCAGCCACATATAACAACAAAGTGATAAACATCTATAATACACGACAATAATCACTTTTCAGAACTTTGAAATTAGTCAACAACTTTTAGATGTACTGCGCGACACGGATAACATAGTAATAGAACACACTTTAAAAGTTCGTTAAAGTATTCAAAACTCTAGTTATGTACTAAAATCACACTGTAACATCAAATAGAAACCTCTTATTTATATTTTCGAACACATTAAGTGATTCCAACTTTGAAAATTATCCAAAAATGATTTTTCAACGTACGTAAGTTCACCATTAACATGAATGACGCTGACAGTCAGCAACCGTCTCTCTCTCGGTCTCCACAATACAGAAAAAAAATACTGCTCGTAAACCATAGATAGTAAATAGATTTTTAATCTAGAGATTTTAGGATTAGTACACACGTTCCAATTTATATAAAACTTTTTACAAACGTAATTTAACTTGACACAATTATTTAAGTATATTTCAACATAGGCTAAAAATACAGTTCTATTGTAATAAAGAATTGCGAATCGAAAACAATGACGGCACTTGATCGACAAGTAGGGTTATGAATAGGACAGGTGATAGGTTGACCATAGACGATTTTACAGGGATTATCATCCTGGGAGAAGATAGTGCACTTAATCACGATGTGAACAAGTACAAACCGAAAATTGATCTTCACAAGAAGACCCAGTTTCAAAGCCCCGAACTCAGATGTAAAGTTGAAAACCTTTCAGTTTATGGGGGAATTTGACAACTTAATTGCTCCAATCCTTTTCGTCATCATTCCATAAGACAATTGGTAAAGCACCACCACAAGATATCCCGTCCACTTACACGGAATTTCGTTCGTTTAAAATTTCCTTTTTAGAACCGCTACGGAGTAAAATTCTTTGTCAGAGTTTATGTTTCAGGCAGGCGTGCTCTATAGTAGGCTGCATTATCGCTTGCCACCAGGCGAGTTAGCAGCCAAAATCTTACATAGGTACCTATCTACTTATTTTACGGTCTTTCTATGAAATAGGGTAGACGACTAATTTTTATTTTAATGTCCGTCTGATAGATTATTTAAAAACATTAGACACGTATTTTTTCTTTTCTCACAGAAACGAATAGTTTCGAAGATATATTGATTTGAAATGTCACGTGACGTCACTTCTGAGTACATTTTATACTAAGAAATGACGTTTTAGCCCCCACTCCTAAACTTTGATTCGTTTTATCTAAGTATTGTTTTATTATACGACAAAATAAAAAAATACGTGTCTAATATTTTTTCATTATGTAACTTACGGACTAATTATATTTTTAATTTTCATACCCTGTCATCATCCCCATTGCCGTTTTGAATGAAACAATTTAAAAGATTTTTTTTATTTGTATTAAATAACCGAAGAACCCATGCAATCAATGCATCTTTGCCAACGTAAGTGGCAGTTTATTGATGCCCTCCTAAAGAAATAGGCTGGACGGGAGGCAACAAATCCTTCAGAGGCATTTTGTACTGCCTCTCGGGTATTTAATTATTTTCCCGCCAAGAAGCTATACAAAGTCTGGAAAAAGTGTAGGTAGTCTGTAGGCGCAAAGTTTGGTGAGTAATCCCTTCATTTGTGTGTCTGTTGAGTAGTGCAAGGCACGTCTCGATATGTACTTCGCACTGGCGATTGCGATAATTGATTTAGTGGGGCACCAATTTTTCAAGCTTTATAACTAGCCAATTTGACACAAATGGACCAATATTGTTTTGACGCTAACATCGAAAACTGCTGCAAATTCAGCCGTAGATATTGTATTTATCGAATTTTGTTTTGTATCCATGATGGCAAATAGATTAAAATGTAACACTAATCAAATCCATGTTTTTAAAACAGAAAATATTTTGATTTTTCAAATGGCCAGTACTTCGTACGACAATTTCGTAGACCTTTCCCCCATACTTACTATACTCTTTGACCTAATATAAAACAGTCATAGTAAGTCATCTAGTCCTTAGACAGAAGTACATTTCGAAGCAGAAAACAATGCAACTATACAATATATATTTTCTTTAGTTGAGTTGCCATCTCGCCACAAGTGCGACTGCTTAAACAAGTAGTCTCAGGATCGGCAATACGCTCATCCCATAAATATAACAAACCCGTATTTGTAGCTGGTTAGGCAAAAGTAGTGAACCACTTAAATGGCACAACACTAGCATGTATATAATTTTTGCCATCTGGTCCTACAAGATGAATTCGTTAACATAGTTTCCAGTAATCAATATGGAATTACATACAGAAATGACATATCTACTCAGTATATTGTTGTACCTGCTACCTAGTGTCGTGAAAAAATTAAGAAGACTGTTTCAATTTAGAACCATATAACCAGTACTTCTAGTTGATTACGCGAAAACTAATTAAGATTTACTTTTTATATGACAAATATTTATAATGATATTAGTATTATTTACATTTATTTGTAATTAATGAATGAATCACTGAAATACATGTAGGATATGAATAATCCCATAAATCTCAGTTCACAGAAAAGTCAGCATGGATTTCATAGATTTATTTAATTTTGTTCTAAACTTGTACATTCACGCACATACACACAATAAATGTCAATAAAAAAAGATCAGTCAGCCAAAATACAAAAGAAATTGATACAAATGGCACTACCCATACCACTACATGATACTATAATTTGTGGAATTGCAACATACCAGGTGATTTATCAATCAAAAACACTTACGATATTACTAACACTGTTCACAAAACACTAGTGTATCTATAATATATTAAATACATTAAAGGGAAAATAAGATTAAATTGAAAAGTAAACATAATATTTATTTATTATTATATAAAATAATACTTGACTTTAAAGTCAACAAATAGATCTACAAAATTGTATGAATTATAAATCAAGAGATTACAAAATAAAATACCTATTTGAATAAACTCTACAAAAAAGGATCTTACAAATTAAATCTTAAAAGTTGTACGTTTCTAGGGAGAGCTAAGTCATCCCAAATTTATTCAAGTGAGATTTTTTTTATTTAACTTGCTAAATATTCCACATAAATGCATCATAATCACACAAAAGTCTAAGCGTCCAAAATTAATACAAGTTCTCACAAGATTCAAATTTGGGTAGACAATCTCAGATGAGAATTTTGTACTGTCATGATAACCCCAAGTGCTTGTCCAAAAGAGTTATACAAATAAATGCAATGTAAAGATCTACAAAGAAATGAGTGAATTGCAATAGTACACAAAAAGAGTTATCGTGACAAACAAATTACACTAAGAGTGAGTGTAATGTCAGAAAACAAAACACATTTTACTGCTCCTCAGAGCCCTCATCTTCATAATCTTCATCCTGTTCCTCATCAGTGGATGCAGCATCTTTTACAGGATCCTTACGTGGTCGTCCACGGGCCCTTCCTTCAACTGGTGCACTCTAGCCAAAACACAAAAATATATATTTCATATCACAATATCTTTCTCTTATGAATTTAATAAAATAAAATAGCATTATTGTAGTACCTTGCCTTTAGCTGCTGCCTTTTTCTTGGATCCCTTAGGCCTACCTCGACCTCTTTTCGCTACTGGAGCTTGCTCATCATCTGAGGATTTTGTAGATTCCTTAGTCCTGGTTGCTGCTGGGGGTCTCCCCCTTTTCTTGGTATCACCCTTAGCCTCCTAAGAGAAAAACAACTTGCATAAAAAATTGGAAATGTAGAGTCAGAGAGCAGAAAATTTGTATTTAAAATTAATACTGACTGATTGTGTTCCATTAGCTTTAGCTCTACCGCGTCCTTTCTTCTCCACAGCCGTCGATCCGTCATCAGACATTTTCAGCTACTATAAATCAACTGCGGAGATCGAAATCTGAAACAAAATCGTATAAAACATATAAATAAATACATTGTCACTTAAAATTTGAGCTCCTTCATACTCCATTATTATTAGTATGACGCTACTGCGTACATAGGCTATTCGTGTAAACTGGAATCAGTTACATGTTTCTAATTAGACATTGAAATCTTTAATAGTTAAAAGCTTGCTAATAATAACAAGTGAACAAAATGTCAACACAAATTAAAACGGTTTAGATAGCTGTACTTAATTAATGTCCGGATTAATTAATTATTTATTCAGTTTCACTAAATAAGAATAAATATTCGTAAAGATATGACTATTCAGAATTTATTACCGATAATAACGACGCAAATTCGGCTCAAGTAAACAGCTTTCAAGATATTATATTCAGTAATCCAAGCAACAGAGTAAATTCAACAACGCCAAGCGACTTTAATAATGGAGTCTGCTTACATTAACTAAACACGAAAGATATACAGCATTTTCAAAGGGACAGTATACAAATTATATAAATATTTTTGAAGCTCAAAATTTAGAATATATCAGAATAATAAAAAAATATTTTTGCAACAAATTCTCAATAAAAATACTCACATAATTGTTTACAGCCAAGCCAACGATATCGCAATGGGTCAAAGAGAAATTTATGGCGGGCGAGCGACCGGTGTTTATCTGGCGTCGGTGCAGAGGGCGCTCGAGTCTGTTTTGTTAAAATACGAAAACAAAATGTTATAAACTTTAATTACTCAAGATACAAACTTGAACGGAATGGAAATATAATATCACCATAGCAAACTATAAAGAAAAAAACATCAAATATTTATTGTAAAAATGAAATATAATTATCAAGCTCAAAGTTCCCGCCAACAGGAAGCTATCAATAAACAAACAAGAAATGCCAGACAAAAATAAACTTTTAGTGGGGTACTTTGCCGTGCTCTTCGAATAGTTTCTTATAATAAATAGTCTAAGGATGGTTTAGATAGAAGACAGGAGGAGACTAGTCGATAAACAAAAAGAATAAACATTTTATTTATTAATTACTTATTATCCAGACTGTTATTCGTATTATGTTCCTATTGTATTTTACAAAGCTACAAAGCGACTGATTTGAAAAATTGGTTAGTCCATTTATCGAGAAATACTTTAAAAGATCACGAGCAGCTGGTGAAATTGCGGGCGAGTAGCTAATGTTTGTTATAGCAATAGCTACTCCAGCGCCGTTTATATAATTAATATAGAAATAATACATACCTTTTTAATTAATTAAATATAATGTCATAATTTCTATGAGTTAAGTACATGTTTCCGAAGACATTTATTATAGATAGCTTTACCGGGTACCACGAATTAGGTGATGTTGTTTGGATCATGTCGGTTTTTGCATGGTTTTTTAAAATGCCTACGTTGTAAAATCTACCACAAGACCCCAACCCAAAGCAGATGGTAATGTTTAGTTCTTATAATATTTCACAACGACTAATTTAGTTGCTACTGATCCCTTAACCAACAGATAATTATTTTGACACATTTCGAATGGAAAACATGCTACTTAGACTTACAGAAAGGAACTCAGATAGGTACATAAATTATTATTGTAAAATACGTTTGCGCCTTAATTTGGAATCGTGTAACGGAACGGAGCTACATATTTGTGACTTTGACATTTCCTATTTTTGTCAATGTCAGTGTCACATCCACATAATTGTCTTGTCATTAGTTGTCAATTGTCATTTTAAAGGATTCATAATCATCATGAATTGTTGTTTGTTGTGTCATGTCATGATTATGAGTACTGGGACTCTGGGTTCCTTCCTATACTTATTATACTCTTTGGTTCCTTCCCTCATTTATATTAAATATTTTATGTGATGGACTTATTCATGTAGTTTTGACTTTTCTTGTTCTACAAGCTACTTGAAAAACAAGTATTCACTCGCTTATTGTAGGATAAGTAAAAACTGTTTTATGACGATGGAAACAGGAGCGAAGCTAATAACATATTCGCTGTAAGTTATGTTTGTTGTAGATAGTGAACAAAATAATATTGTGGCTACAAAAATCAGGATGGAGAAACCAAACGAACCAAACCCTGAAGACTGTTGCAACAGTGGCTGTAATCCTTGCATATTTGACATTTACGAGGAGCAGTTAAAACTGTACAAAAAGTATTTATTAAATAAGGAAAGTGTAAATGCTATACCTCAAGATAATGCTATATCACAGTTGAAGTACACAGGATTTGTCTTGGTAAAGAACTTACCCGAGTGCCACTTACATCATCAATTATTGTTCAAAAAAAAATCTGAGGACAATATGAAAGTTTCTTGGAAACCTGGTGATCATTTCCTCTATAAATACAATACAGATAAAAACTCTTGCACAAGAGCTTATACTCCCTTAAAAGTACGGAATGCTCAAAATTTAATAAGTGATTTTTCAATTATTGTCAAGAAATATGAACATGGTTTGGTTTCAAGTCACCTATGCAATTTAAATGAAGGAAGCATAACATTTTGGAGGGGCCCATATGGGCATTACAATTTGGAATGCAATAAATTTGAAAGAATTATTATGATTGCGCAAGGGACTGGAATAGCTCCATTTATTTCAATGATTGAAAGTATTTTGAATAATGAAGATGATTTAACTAAAGTGATTCTATTATATTGCTGCAAAAGTGATAATTCAATACTTTTTCGAGAAGAACTTTATTCTTATAAGTCATATTGGAATTTTAAATATGTAATTTTTGTAAGCAATGCAAGTGTACCTTTAAAATGTAGATATCAAGAACCAATAAACAGCCATAGGTTTAGCTCAAAGAATTTATTGCCTTTAAAACCATTCACAATTAATGATCAAGTACTTATATGTGGAGCTCCTCAGTTTAATGAGACTTATAAATTGTATTTAGAAGCAGAAACACCTAAAGTAGAAAATATAGTTTTATTTTAAATTGTTGTTTCTATTCATGATTGAACTTTTTAGAAATCACACCCATTATGGCTCAACATTTTAAATAATTCACACTATGTCTTAAATTTACCTACATTACATCAGCCTATATATACCTGCCCTGCTGGGCAAAAGGTCTTGTTTGCTCAAGAATTGGCAATTTCAAACTTATAACTAATAATTAGATCAGAAATTATAATCCTTATATATTTAATATGCATTAGGTAATAAGTTAAATAAATTTCGACCTTCTGCTTCCCCTTCGGAAAAAAAGGTGCAGTGTTTAGTGGTGGACAATGGTTTACCCAAACCAGAAAATAGCACCAGGAACTAATATATAAGTACTAGTTACTACGCGCAGTTTTACCTGCTGCTATATTGATAGTAGCGTGATTTTTTAGCCCACAACCTAACTCGATAATCTGTCCAACACGAAATATTTCAATAATTTAAACCTATATGTATTGTAAAGTTCAAACGCGCGTTCAAACAAACAAACAAACATTCAAAATAATCTTCATCTTTATAATACTCGACTTCTAGCCAATGGCGTAGCGTGCCTTATCGGGCACCTCGTATGGAAATTAGTTTAAATGGACCCTTATGAAGGGTAAAGATTTTCCCACTAGAATTTTTGTTACTTAAAATACTAATACGTTAATTTGTGTGAAAAGTTGAAAACCGAAAACGCAACGCCCTCTGCCCAAATGAACTAAGATTACTTTAGTTTTTCTAAAGTTTCTGCCAACCTTTAAACGCATACTTTACGCGCGGGTAAAAAATCGTTTATTTTAACTTTGTGATTAGGTACTGAAATAAAATAATAATTGGAAAGTTTTTATTAATTTATGCTTACGCAAGTTATGGGGTATATTTTTAAATGGCAGACAGATAAGGCATTAGCTAAGTCCCTGCTTATAGCAGAATCTAAGCTTACTAGTTAGAATGTTGTCATTAAAACACAAGAGATGGCGTTTTATTTATTAAAACACTATCTTTTATGATAATCATTCTACATTATCTTTTATGATAATCACAAGTATTTTATGAAATTGTTTTAGTTATTAAGACTTGTTAGTTTAGCTTTCATAACATTTTTATGAAAAATTACACACGATGTTTTAATTTTTTTCGTAATGGCAACTCTGACATTTTGGTATGGATTTTTTCGCGCCGGCGCGAAACGTGTTTGCTTGCTTCCAACTTCCCCTGTATTTTAATTTTTACGATGAAATAGTGCTGTAACTTATATCCATAAAATCGTTAATAAATAACCTCTCCTTATTATGTTTAATATGCAAGTTATATAAGTGCAAGAACAAATAGATTACAACAATAAATGTAATAATGTTAGTGGTATAAATTAGTGTTCAATATTATAGAGGTGATTTTTTAAAAATGGGTTCTATCGTGTTGAGAAGTCTATCCATCCTTTTAGGGGTGTTTTTTATATTCGTGGGAATAACTAAGCTAACTCCATTCATTTCGAAGGAACTACATAAAGATTTGGTAAGCGTTTATATTTTATTCTTAATATTTTAGTGAATACAGACTAAAAGGTCGCTAGGTGCATTTAGATTTTTGTAGCAGAGCGAGTGGTTTGCTATTTTGGTATTTGGCCTGCCGCCTAATACCACCACGGAGTCGTCTCGTTGCGACAGCCCACAGCGGCCAGCGTGACTCGGTCGCGTTCCGTGGATCCCCCCTGCGCCGACTCTCAATCATCTGTAATTTATTTGTTGGCGCATGTGTGTACTTCAATGCTTTGCTTAGCTATTTTCAAAAGACGGGTTCAATCGATATTAGAGATACAATGTACCTATAAAATATTTATACGTAGGAATGAAGTAGGTGTTTCGATAATAGTAGTAATTCGCATAATTATTTATTAATTGCTCGGAACGACGAAAATTAATATAAATGTTTATGTAGTAGGAATTAATTTTTTTAATAACGATAATCTAAGTAGTTATAGGTTTAGGTACCTTAGGTACTTCATTAAGGAATTTTTCATTTTAGTAGGTACCTAGGTAAGATATTATTAAGTATATAGGTACAGGGAGTATATACAAGTATGTTTACATTATCTCCCTGTATATTTTATAATATGTTTGTTACTAAGTTAGGTACCTACTTACCCATATAAATAACAATTTGCGACAAAATCTGGTACGGTGTTAATTGAGTACCAATAAATCTATGTATTGGGTACTCAATTAAAAGCACAAATACATAGACAATCGAATTGAACAGTCACTTTTGTCTGCTCCGAACCACATTCGATAGTGTGTAAGGCGGTCTGTCACACATTTTCAATGGATACCACCGGACCGCTGAACCAAATTGACGGTACGGTGACGATTCGGTTCGATCTTCCATTTGTGCTTTAGTCTACGTACAGACCTACCTAATTAGGTGCAATAACTTGACATGAAAAAATACTATCTTTATCAAGAACCAACCAGCTTCTGCCCGCATCTTCGTCCACGAGAAAAGATGAAATTTTCTAATGTTGAAAGAATTTCTGAAATCGGTCCTGTAAGCTTTTTTGTGACAACATTAGATAGGTACAAACATACCTACATAATTATAATCTATTAGAAGGACTGGTTATAGAAGTACTTACACATTAAGAAAATGTAAAGCGTGCTTTTTAAATTGTTTATTAAGTAACTTAGAACGCATGGAAACCACAGTAATAGGTATTTAGTTATGTAAGTACATACCTGGTTTTATATTACGTACTAGCTGGCCCGGCAAACTTCGTACCGCCTAAAAATTTTTCTCACCTTTTATACCTTCCCTGGATTTCTATGAACATTTCAAGACCATAATTAGCCAAACCGCTGCAGCCGTTCTCGAGTTTTAGCGAGACTATCGAATAGAAATTAATTTTTATTTATAGAGATTTAGAATTGTTTGTGTTAGATTAAAAAATGTTTAGCAGATGTAGATTTATTTACCTACCTATCTAATCTACCTCGTACTTACATACGTAATCCAAAGGTTTCTTTTTGTATTTTATTCAGTATTCCTAATCCTATTGAATGGCTAACTAATATGTGTGATAATAATAACATAACTTCGTTATACAGTGAATGGTTTAGAGGCAAACGAACTTAAAATGGTAAGCAGATGTAGGCACCGCAATGTCCCCTTGTATGTTTATATTGTCTATTGTACGATTTGCACGCCACGACACATTAAGTGCAATGACCTGGAACCGTACGTCTTCAACCGTCTTGATAACCCTACCTATTTTTGTGCAAATAATATTTGCCAAATATTATAAATTGTCTATCACTAACATGGGTGGCATCATAATAGATCATCAGTCTGATAAAAAGTCAGAATAGAATAATACAATATCTATATGTATGTGCAAACATGCAAAGTTCCGTATTTCATATACGATAGCGCGTTCTAGACACAGACTGCCTCGTTGGCAGAGTGGTCGCAAGTGCTACTGCCGGACAAGGGGTCTCGGGTTCGATTCGCTGGTCGGACAACGTATTACCTGGTATTTAAAAAAAAATGTTTCTCAGTAGTAGCACGGAGTCTGGAATTGTGCCCGGTATATGCAATGTGCTCAACTCCTATTATATGGGGTAAAAAGTGAGTGTTAAATTGTAAGTGGTATTAAACTGTCAAACACAGCGAGGACACCGGTGACCGTTCGGTGTTTGACAGTTTAAAGGGTTTATTGCCGTAGTGTACACCTCTATCTACCCTTTAGGAAATCAAAGGCGTGATGGTGATGCGTTCTAGAAATTCTAAATGCACATAAGCTAAGAAATAAGCCTTTTATTTCATTCCCATATCAGTGATACATATCAATTGGTAATAATTTAACAATACAAGAGTTCGGTATAGTGAATATCATCTAACAATTCTATTAGTAACTAAGTAAACCTAACTACTAACTACCAAGTGCCTTATTTACTAGATTTGTACTTACTAAGAATGTCATTACATGACATAATAAGGAGTCTTAAAATAGTCTTCATGAAACACGATTTGGCCAGCACATTGTGAACTGTCAGATATTACCTGGCTACCACCTGTTCACTGCTCTATAATATAGGTACATACCATCTAGAGTTATTTTCTGTATGTAATCTATGTTCGTAGACCCGTCTCAGCCTGCTCACCTAAAATATGCTAGAAATTTCGTCAAAAGAGGTAACTAGTTGAAGTGAGGGCATGCTTCGGCACGAATGGGCCGCCTCGACCGGAATGATACCACTGCCTCACAGAAAACCGACGTGAAACAACGCTTGCGTTGTGTTGCGTGGTGTGAGTGACGTTGTTGGAGCCCCAATTACCCCCTCCCCTCCCCATCTCCCCTGAATCCCCAACAATTCTAATTTAATCTAATCCCCAAAAGGCCGGTAACGAAGTTGTAACGCTTCTGGTGTTCCGGATTTCCACGGGCGACGCCGATTGCTTACTATCAGGTGATCAGTCTGGTTTTTTACCAGTAAAAAACTAAGAAATAAAAATCGATTAAGAATGTAGGTAATTTTACAACTACTGATCTAACTATGATTTAATTACCACAATGTCTATTATATAGTACCTACTTAGAAACCTACTCGTGAGTGGGTTGCTAACTGACAAAACTACGAACCATGAAACTGATGAATCGATCGTAACCAAGCCATTAAACATGATGTTTCCAATTCCACGCTAAAAACCGAGTAGCTGATTGACAGATATCAAACGTAAATTATTTTGATTTAGGCACGTATAGTTACTTGGTAAAACTTTTCTCAGTTACTTATTTAAACTGTCAAACACCAAGCGGTCACCGGTGACCGCGACCTATTGTTCTTTAATTGTGCCTATAAAGCCGGTACTCGACGAGTTAAGTAAACAATGCAAGTGTACATACTGATACTACAGCAGAACCTGTAGAAATGTGGGGTACCTATATTAGGTATGTATACTATACAATATAATAGCGATAGCAATATACTAGCGATAGCGACCCGCCCCGGTTTCGGACGGGTGCAATATGCATGTATTATACATATAAACCTTCCTTAAGAATAACTCATTAAAAAACCGCATCAAAATCCGTTGCGTAGTTTTAAAGATCTAAGCATACATAGGGACAGACAGACGGTAGATAACGACTTTGTTTTATACTATGTAGTGATTACTGTCTGAAATAGCTATGTATAGGTGGAATGTTTCAATATTCATCTTCGTTAACAATACGTGCCTAGATAAACACTAGCTATTTCTAAAGATAATAACACGAATCTTCAATCTCGCGCTGGATGAAACGATCCCATTCAATAAGCGTATTTTACGCAATTTGTTATATCGGGGATATCTATAATAAAAACTACCTTGAAATAGTTTTCGCCTTGGTGATCGTGTAAACATTAACGATCCAATGTAGTTTACTCATTACATCTAACACATTGTAAAAGTATAATGCTAATGGCAGGCTGGCAGTGCTCGATACATCATGTTTTTATAACTTCGCTAATTTTATCACGTTACTTTAGTTAATTGATGAATGATTTCAGTGTATACGAAGTGAAAATCGAATAAATGATATAAAAAATCAATAAAATACCGATATAATTAGTTTTATAGAAGAATGCCTACAGCTAGGCGCACAGATTTCATAGAGATAGAGGAGACAACAAATCAGTAAAATGTTTGAAACTTTGTTTCAGAGAAAAGAATATGTGAGATACGCGAAAGTGTTTCCATTGACGGAAACATTAGACTTCAAGTTACCATCGAAATGGTATCGAAGGGCGGTTGGTGGCCTCGAAATATTATTTGGATTAGCTCTAGCAGCTATACCTAGTCGTAAGTAAATGTTTTTTTTTCTAACAGGTTATTACCGTGATAAGTGTGAGGGTTGCAGGTTCTGTTCCTTGACAGTAAAGGTTCGAATTTTTATGTTGCAAGTTTAGCTTTTGTTATCACCCCGGCATTAAAAGGTTAAAAAGTATTAAATCATTTTTGTGACAAAACCTGTTTATCCGTTCAGCACTGGTACAAGAATAGATGCAAGATAAACGATCGCATGTCGGAATATCTGGCGTGATGTCGATAATATGAAAGCTCCCAAAGCTGCGGCATGCAATGTATCGGAAACAACCTACTGATGTATATCATCAATTTGACGTTGATGATAAATATTTATTTTTTCCAGTCTGAAATTGGTTACCGCGTAGCATGCCTCATCTAACATTGCTGAGCCAAATGGAAGTATTCCCATTAGTATTGTTAAAACCAATGTATTCCTGCCAGTTTATGAAGTCATAAAACAGGAACGTAAAATTGAGTGTAGTTAATAGGCCCTGGCAAGTACCTACGAGGTTGAACACTAATAAGTTCCAGCTAACTGTTTAAATATGTATGTACCTGGCTACGTATACGTACGATACGATACGATACGTATACGTAACCATAACTAAGCGAGATATACTTAAAAAAACAAGTTCCCATGCCTAAATAGACCCTATTTACCTATGATAATCTCAAAACTACTGGACGTATTTTTATGCGAATTTCACAAGTTTATCATATTACCTACATCATAGAGTCCCTAATCGTTGAGAACCTAAGTGTATATTTGTGAAGACTTCAATACCACAGGCATACCTAAATATAATATATTAGTTTTTCATTATAAATCCTGTTGTTTCAGATAAAATCAAGAACACGGCTAACATTGGCCTTGTTCTGTTAATGATATTAGCAGCATATTCACATGTCATGGTGGGTGATCCCTTCGACCGCTGTGCTCCAGCGCTGGTTTTCTTCTTTATGCTTAGTGGAAGACTTGTTGTTTGGTAAATATGCCCTAGTTTTAATAAACCACAATGCACAAATATCAAAAATTAATTAATATTTATTATAATCTTAAACAGTTACAATCAGGTTATGGGTTTTCGATATCTAGCACTAGTACATATAAGTACATGAAAACCCATGTTTGATTTCTAAGGAATCTTTGAAATATGAAAAAGTAATAGAAGTTTTTCTTTAACTAAAATCTTTAATAATTTGGCTGCAAGCAAAGCCCGTGGGTAGTAATTATTGACGTCAGTGCAGGTCAAATTTAGCCGAATATTCTACGAATTCATGTCATCGCCCCGTTGTTATATAATAAATTCATATACTTATCAAACAAAGCTTGGAATTACAAAGAGAAACTGAGTTTATCTCGCTTTAGTAATAAAAAAGCAGTAAATGCCCGAAAATGTTTTTGTAGTAGACATTCAATTTGATAAATATTTAACAACGCTTAGTTGAAACATTGTCCATGTCTAAATGTCATCAAGCTCCACGGTTTGGATATGGGTACTGTACCTTGACCAATTTTTATGTGTTATAAACACGAGTTACGAAATAAAATTAGTGCTATCGCACGCTACCATTGCTCTGGCAATCGGCCAGGGAATCCGCGATGACGAACCACTGTGTCGCGCAAATAATACCTATACGTTCCAGCCGATTGGGTTATTGCAACTTTCTAAATTGTTATTGTAAGCTATTCGTCCTTTCAATAGAAACTGTAGTAACTATTTGCTGAAGATTGGACCTTTCAATAATTTCTACTTATAGGTTGGTATTGTTTAAAGACAAAGCAATAAAATGTCTGAAAGTAAACTATTAATATCACGACTGAGCAAGAGCTGGGGAAAGGGTCATGTGTGCTACATTACATTTTGTCACTCTATATTGTTGCTTTTCTGGATTCCGAAAATATAGGTAGACTAATACAATAAAATGTTCATTAAACAGGTATCAAATTAGTCGCCGAGAAGAAATGGAGAGAGCCACCGCTACACAGAATGGGAATGGGCTCAAGAGAGAATAGTCAAGTCTTAGATTAAGAAATTACGTACGTTTATAAGTTACCTAATAGCATTCTTACAAAATGCTATTGAATATTACCTATATGTTAGTCATATTTTTACCGTAGCATATAAATACGAAACTACTTAAAAATATGACTGAGTTCTCAATGAATGTCTTAGCGTAGTAGGAGATGTTAATTTCTTTTACTGATTAACTTAGAAATACAAAAATATTGCTCGGTGGGTAATTAATTAATCACACTGTGATGATGCTAGTCAAAAGTTGCGAAATATGGATTTTGTTACATTACTCAGCTTGTTAGTATAAACCCTGATAGTGCATACTCGTATTGTTGCAACGTGTCAACCACCTGGTTAATTGAAATAGGTCATTCAAGTGCATTTTTAATTCTCCAGGTGAGTGCACTTCATGAGAGTAATTTGTACCTAAAAGTGATATTAATTTAAGCGATATGTGCTAGGTTCATTTTGTATGTGTGAGTGATGTGTATGTGTGTCATATTTATAGATCCATAATAATAACTGCCAACGCGTATTGATAGGTTTAACAAATATTTACCTACCTACTGCACTTATACAAGGTAAAAATTAAAACAGCACATTTTAATGTTCTATATAATTTATGATTTGCTCAATACTTCTCATTTAATAATGCAAAAGCTTTTTAATAGTGTTTTTCTTCAATAATTTATTTATTTCGTGAACAAACAAAGCTTCTTAACTAAGTTATATAAAAAAGCGACATTAATGCAAAGATTTTATCTTACTGTACGTTTTGTGGTGTGTGATGTGTAAACAAGTGAAGTTATGGTCAATGAATAAATGGAAAATATTATTTATATCTTTTATTTTACCTGTTTCTATGTATAGAGAAAGTGATATTTTTATATCACCATTATCAAGCAGTTTTAATGCTTACTACAATATTTTGTACCAGTAAATGACTACTAATATATTTGATAATAATTATGCAAACATTTCCCTAATTGTATTATAATTTGTGAGATGATCTGGACTTTATTTAGTTTATTGTTCTAGTATATTAATTCTAGCACCCTGATATAAAAACAGTAACTAACATTTGTGTTGTAGGTATTCCAATTTCCATGACAAAAACATACTTCTATTACTTTAATTAACTGTACTGCAACTGGCTATAGTATATTTTTATATTCTGCATATAAATAAATAAGAAACCAGTATCGTGAGTTAGAATGTGTACTGTTACATGTCGACTAGAGAATCTAGTGATCAACTAGTAAAAAAATGATTTTCTATCCCTTCAGTTTTCTTTCTATTTAAAACCTTACCGTGAGTGAGATGTCAACTAAATTAATAAAATGTAATGTTTATAAATTATAATTATATTTTAATTATTATAGGATAAATAAGTTTAATTGTTCAGTAACAAGCTATAATAATATTTTTTATCACTTATCATTTTATTTTAAACAGATTCATATCTTGCAAACGACAATTATTTGCATATAATCACTACTAGAACTAGCGAATATAGAAAAACCCAAATGTGTACATATATAATGCACTTTTATTCAGATAAAAAAAACCTGTATTTGATTGTACTAACTTAAAATCCGAAAATAATGCTTTAAACATAGATAAGTAGAGTAAGGCAGCAGGTGGGACAACACTGTTTTTCTTTGAAATCTGAGTATTTCATTTCAGACAGTTGGTTTCAAAAATGTTAAATTTTAAAGCTGCCTTATATTCAGTTATTAATTCGTGCAATCCTATAAAATATTGATCAATTGTATAATAATAATAACGTTAATTAGCATTTAATATTGCTTCCAACATAACTTGATAAAGCAAACAGTAAAAATAAAACAATTTATACAAACAGTATATATCACAATATGAACTGCTATTCAAGCAGGGTCACGGCCCGTTTGTAATAACTCCAAAGCATTTTTAAGATTGCCTACAGCAGTCTTAATATCGTCGTAGTTGAGTGCACTGCTTGCCCATTTACAATATTTCTGAGCTTTAGCAATTTGATCTGGGGACAGCTGTGCAATTCTATTGTCACCATATAAATTAGTAGGTGTTGGTTCTGGTTGTTGTTGTTGCTGTGATGGATCATAAGGGACGAAACCACCAGGGTTTGGGTCAGGAGTATATGGTACTGGTGGGAGTTGGGAAGCTGCTCTCATTGCAGCATTGGGATCAGGCAGAAAACTATTGAAGCTAGATGGGGCCACTGGTGGGGTTGCTGGAGTCACAGTAGTAAATCCCGGTACTTGAGGTAAATCCGTGGGAGCAGGTGCAGGTGCAGGTAAACCATCACTTGTAGGTTGTTCAGCATTTTCATCCCCCTGTTCTGACTGCATTGGTCCTGCAAATTTTCAACCAAAATGTAAATAAATTATTGACAGAACAATAAAATTATGTTTTTGATGTAATTAATGTAAAATGAAGGTTTACTATATGTTGATCAAAAATAGAAATAGGTTAAAATATCATATTTAAAGTATTTGTTGCTGATTTAAAAGTCATTGCAGACTAATAAATTAATATTTTGCCAACATACTGATGAAACAATACAAATCTAGTTAAATAAACTAGCAACTTAACCAATCCCATCTATTATTCATTATTATTTGTCTTCCTACACAAATATTAAAATTTGCTAATTATTGCATAAGCTAAAGGTTATTGAATTATTAAACTTACTACTCATAACATAACTGGTGAAAAGGGAACATACAATAATAATGGGGATGATGACAGGGTATGAAAATTAAAAATATAATTAGTCCGTAAGTTAGGTAATGAAAAAATATTAGACACGTATTTTTTTATTTTGTCGTATAATAAAACAATACTTAGATAAAACGCATCAAAGTTTAGGAGTGGGGGCTAAAACGTCATTTCTTAGTATAAAATGTACTGAGAAGTGACGTCACGCGACATTTCAAATCAATATATCTTCGAAACTATTCGTTTCTGTGAGAAAAGAAAAAATACGTGTCTAATGTTTTTAAATAATCTATCAGACGGACATTAAAATAAAAATTAGTCGTCTACCCTATTATATGAGCACCTCTGACAACACCTTCAATGATAAAAGAGGGTGATGATATAACGATTAACAATTCACTACATACAATGCAATAGGTTGACATCATTTCTGTTTCAAGTATCTGTACAGTTGTTCTATTCTTAAGTACTCAAACCACTCAAATAGAATATTATCATCATCATCCTATACATACTACATATGTATATGTATAGTATACTATAATGTGCACCTCTGTTTTTTCCTTTGGGAAAAAATATTGTGGTGTTAGTTAGGGATCTATACTGGGTGTAAAGAGAAAACACAGGCAGGTGATTGTTTCTATTATATAATAACTGACCCGGCAAACTTTGACCTTTTAAACCTTCCCTGGACTTCCACCAACATTTAAAGACCAAAATTAGCCAAATCGGTTTTAGCCGTTCTCAAGTTTTAGAGAGATTAAGAAACGGAAATTCATTTTTATTTAGATAGATAGTTATAGTCAACTGCTCAAGTTTGATGTTGCATGAAAAACATGAAAACAAAAAAGATTAAATTTGTAAAAATTGGCATGTTTTCAGTACCATTCCATTTATACCCTGTATTATGTTTATCAAGAATATCATTAATATTTTAAAACACAGTGAAAAATACCTGGCACAGGTGTTTCTCCATTCTTGAGGCAGTTATGGATGTAAGCAGCCTTCCACTTGGCATACTTTCTATTTTGGGTAGCTTCATCAGTGAGGTCACCAAATGTTGTCAGGACATCATAAATCATACCAGCTGTGTAGAAAGCCTTTACAATATTTCTGAAACATATGAACATGTGTTTAAGGTTGTTGTCTCCGTAAACAATCAATATCTAAAATAATATCTTATAATGTAATATTGTATAACATTAACATTCTTATAACATTGTATTTGATATAAATAAATTTAGTATCTTATAATTGTTTTTAATATAAGACAATCACATAATGACAGTGGTGCACCAAGTAAAAATTACTAATTACTTACTTTCCATAATTTTGTTCTCTATCTTGTTTATCAGCATACAAAAAGAGTTTTAAAGCATAATTTTCAAGATGGGCTTGTGCTGCTACTTCATTAGTAATTGCTTCATTTTCTCGATTCGTTTTCTTAACTTCTTCTAACCAATCCATCAAACCTAGAACACAACAAAAAATATGTCAGTATTAAATATTCTATAATTTCCCTTTATTGAAGCATTCTTGCAACATACCCATCAGTAATTTCGTTTCTTCTGGGGTTTTCTTATTAGCAATTTTCAGTCCCACTTGTAATGCATGAAGTCTACACCAATAAGCCACAACTGGATCTCTAGTATCATGTTCTGCTGCAGTCTTCAGATAATGCTGAATTGACTTCAAGCTTGCTGGGCACTCCGGTATATTCACAGACATATTTGATTATGCTAAAATGATAACAAAACAAACTCAAAATAAGGCACACTGACAAAATAAATACCTAACAATAAAATGAGTGATGATTGCGATGAATCATATTATTATTATCAGCATTATGTAGATGGTTATTAAACTATTTCTCACCTACCTTCATCAACTAATAACGTAATTTTAAAATAACAAGAGATTTTAGTGTAAGTAGAAACAAAAATTAACTTTAATCACAAAATCGAAAGTTGATTAGACAGAAATGACGGAATTATAAATAGAATTATGACGGATGATGTCACTTATGTTTTGACGTTTGTTTGCACAGACAGAGATTCTCTTGGCAACCATCGAGTAGGATTATACGACGAAAGGAAGGTGGGTAGGATAGTAGGATTATGAATAGTCCGATTTACATTTTATGATGATATTGGAACTTAATAATTAATTTAATTTCGTAAAATTATTAATGTACCAATTGTTTGTGCATTGTTAGAATGTGAGTAATTGTATTAATTAGATTTAATAACATCTTAAATTATTCGAGAAATGATGAGTCCACTGTTTACTTACTTTTAAATATTTGAATAAACCGCTATTTTTTAAATTGTAAAAAACATTATACTGTTGTCAATGGTATGAAAAGTGTGAAAAGACGAGATCTTTTTTTTTAATGGGGGAAAATCATCGAATGACAAAAGACGAGATCTATAATGTAAATAAGATGTTGAAAGGTCCATTGAAAAGAGTATAAGAAATATAGGCGAAGAGGACGCAATTACATGATAATAACAAAACTATATAATACTGAAGCCACAATTTTATATCTTGTAATTCTTTGGCATGTCCACCTAACATAGTGAGGTGAGACTTGTTACAATCGTAATAAGAGTATGAAATAGTACAGATTCTTTTTTTTTAAGAATGAATCCAAACAATGATTATTGCTAATGAGTAAACAATAGTGATTCCATTCACAGGAAATGTCAAAGTCAAACATGACATACGTCAAACAAGCAAAAAGTGCTGGAGGAGAATTATGAATTTGGTTGAACTTGTGTTTTTACATTTTTCAGCTCACGTGCAAATATTTTAAAGGTTTTATTAATTCTTGTAGACTTTTCAAAATGCCATCGAAGCAAAGGAAGATTGCTATGATGGGATATCGCTCAGTGGGTAATGTTATCGTTTCAGTCTACCTTGTGCGTCTTATTTAGTGTAATGTGACATTATAATAACATAAAAACGTTTTCAGGTAAATCATCTTTAATTATACAGTTCGTAGAAGGTCAGTTTGTAGATTCCTATGATCCGACAATTGAAAACAGTAAGTATTTTTTTTGTAAATTTTTCGTAACTTGTATTTGTCATACTATGCTTTTACGTACATTCATTGAGCACTGTACCCCACATGTTCTCTTTGCGATCGTATTTTTCGTAAAACTTTTAAATTTAAAAGTTAAGTCAGAAAACTTGAATCCAATTGGAAAATTAATATATTGTTTAAAATTCTGTCTTGATAAAGATTTTGATCAATAATTGTTGTTTTTATTTACTGGAACATTTGCGTGTAATATACATGATGAACGCAATTAATTAATCTACAGGTGATAGTGTTATGTTCTTTATTATTATTTACTGGTCAAACGAAATTGAGCAGTTGGATTTTTTTCTGATTGTTTTAAAATTACATCATTACATTACCTTGAATTTATGTTGAACATATTTAAGTAACTTAGACTGATTAATTTTATTCACAGCATTCACCAAATTTATTCGTTTAAACTCAACTGAATATGAAGTGAAGCTAGTGGACACGGCAGGTCAAGATGAATACAGTATATTTCCACTTCAGTACAGCATGGACTTCCATGGATATGTGTTAGTTTACTCCATTACTTCCAGTAAAAGTTTTCAAATAGTACAAATAATTTATGACAAACTCTTGGATATGGTTGGGAAAATACAGTAAGTAAACAATTTGTTTCTTTTTAAACTAAATCTTATGTTTACTATATACTAGAGAATAATAATTAATTGATGCATTTTTTTCTAGTGTACCTATTGTGTTAGTTGGTAATAAAACAGATCTACACCTAGAAAGAAAAATCAGTACAGAGGAGGGCAAAAGACTAGCAGAGAAATGGAAGGCTGCGTTTGTTGAGACTAGTGCTAAACGAAATGAGGTGAGATAAGCATATTGTATTTCTCTTATTTTGCATTAAAATATTATATAATTAGGATTTCGAATTAATTCAACCTCAAAAGTATTCATTTCAATTAAATCATAATTTGGTACTTTTGAAACATCAGATTCGTAAGATTGATTATATGATGATAATGATAAAAATTTATATATAACTTAGTTTCCCCACTATTTATGGTGTGAAATATTTATAATTTATTGCTTATTTTTTGAACTTATTAGTTGGCACAGTAATAATTGATTATGTCAGTTACAAACCACTTTTAGCCTCTTGACTCTCAGAACATAATTAAATAAAATAAAACCTAAACAAGAGAAATACATATTTTATTATCTCTAATATAAAGGCAAACAGAGGTTAATAAACAGTTGACATTGTCATCACAAGTGTAGGCATATTTACTACATTAAGATTATTAAAATAAAAATTATTTATAATTTCAGTCTGTCACCGACATGTTCCATGCTATATTATTAGAGATTGAGCGATCAGATGGACATATACCAGACAAGAATGGTTGCGTAATTTCTTAATACAAGTTTATAATATATAAAGAACAAAGTGCTTTTTACTTAAGTTAAAGTGATTTAAATGTAGTGTTTGTATGTGCACAGCAAGCTAAATGTGGCGACCAATGCGATTTTGGTAATTATGATTCAAATGTACTTCTGGATGCTTAGTAAATGTAAGCTTAGGACAAAAGAATATTGCTATAACAAATGTGTCTGAGAGTTACTTCATTAGTAGTTTCAAAGTTTATAAATCGAATGTTGGGAATATACATCTTAGTAAGAAGTTTCTGGGAGAATTGTACGTTTGTTGAGTGTGTGAAACATTATCTTACCTCATGTTTATTGCATTAATGAATGTTTATTTACTTTATTGTAGCTATAATAACGGTACAAAAACTATAAAACATTTTGTTTATACAATTACAATTTAGTGTATAATTTTATTTATTATTTTCTACTTTTATATACTTTCCATTGAAACGTTTTTTTAACTATACAAGCAGTTTCAATTAATGTACAGTCCATTAATAAAATGTTTTTGAATATTTATATGAAAATAGAAAAATTCCAATGTTAAAAATATCAAAGAAATTACATAATTATATATTTTGTAATAAAATGTGAATTTCTTTCAAATATAAATAATAATATACAAGATGTTTTAAAGAACAACATTTTTTGGTGATTTAGCAATGTTGATACTTGTACTTGTAGGTATAAAACCAAAGGTTCCTTATTGTGTTTTTATTTTGAAATGTGTTATGGTAGGCTGGTTGGTTGTAAAAGCATCCAAATATCTATAAATATGTAAGCATATAATACTTTATTATTTTATTGTTAGGTTACTAAGTTTGAAGTACATCAAATTATGCATTATTATATTGTAAAAAGTCTATTGTGTTCATATTAGACAATTGTTAAGAATGTATCGAAGACTAAAGAAATTATTGTTTTCAAATTATTGATAGCAAGTTGTAGCTGAGTGTAACTATTCTGAGTTGGGCATGGAATGCTAAGCAGGGAAATTACTAGCTAGATGGATATACCAACAGGCAAGTCTGCTGGCATATCCACTAGACTGCCATAATCCCTAGCTTTATTCAAGTGTCTTGTGTTGCTTCCGTTAGTACTTGACTTAAATAATAATTTACTTTAAAAGGCATGTCATATTGTGTTCCAACCATAGTTTCTAAATTCCTTTTGATGTGAGTGCTATCTGTATGAATGAACTTAGCTTGAACTCATCATTGTCAATGTCAATGCCACACTTGTACGTAAAAACTCATGATATTAGATGAGTGATTCACACGAGACTTAACTGAATCATATTAGCTCATAGCTCTCTGGTCTGTAACATTTTACTGTTCTAAAATAACTTGTCTAAAAATATTATTTGTTGACCTCACTTACGTTTCTTGCACATTTAACTTTTACTTATGATAAATAGCTATAATCTGGCAATAACTATACAGTGGATTATATTAGAATATTTTTGTAAAAAAATCTATTATAGAATTATTTATATTTATGTATCGAGACTTTTTCCAGTATTTAAATGTTAACAACTATTCACAGGATTTGACATTTAATTGCTGATTACTCAAGTTTTTTGTAGATAATCATTCTGATTAAATGAAATCTAAAATCATGGCCACTGTCACAGTATAGTACGGGATTCCCCTCTTTGTCTCACCGTACTTGAATGGCGCTTGCTAGATGATTGATAGTGAAATCTGCGATAAGGGTAACTGCCGAAACATGTAAGGTGAACCGATAAAATTAAGTATTGAACTTCTTGACTATCGTGAACATCGTAGAAATTGAGAATGTAAGTTTACATTAATCATGTAAGCAATAAAAACCGAGTTTATGTGTTGTACAGTTGTGCCTACCTTTGGCAGTGGTCATTACATTGATACATATTGGAGAAAAATAAGATAGATAGATTGATAGTAAATAACTTCCGGCTGAGACCTGACGGTTTACTACTAGAGGCCTAGTACGAGTTGGTTTTACGTTTAAAGTAATCGTAACGAGTACACGTTCGGCGCACTGATTGGCCGGCGCCAATGAACCAACCAATCAGAGGCCTTAGTATGAGTTTCATTCACGTTTAAAGTATTCGAAACGAGTACGCGTTCGGCACTCTGATTGGACGGCGCCATTGAAGCAACCAATCAGAGCGCCGAACGCGTACTCGTTACGATTACTTTAAACGTAAAACAAACTCGTACTAAGGCCTCAGAACGCCGAACGCCGTCTCGTTTCGAATACTTTAAACGAAAAAGAAACTCGTACTAAGGCCTTAGTTTATTTTACGTTTAACGAGGTCGAAGCGAGACCGTAAAACAAGTACGGGTTTGTTTACTGACGGCAAAGCACGAATAACTATCGCATTCGTATCGTAACAGTATCGAGCGAGTTAAGCGTTCTGATTGGTTGGTTCAATTGAGCCGGCCAATCAGAGCACCGAACGCGCTCAATACTATTACGTTACGAATGCAATAGTCATTCGTGCTTGGCACTCTGTTCTTAAAAATTACTGGTTGGATTTATATACAGCTTTGACTATGGATAGAGGGTTCTTGGGAAAGGCTTAAAAGCAGAATGAAAGAAATTACTAAAATTTTGTCACTTAATGATGGAAAAATATATTTTTTAATCAAATATTAACCTTTCTGCAACATAATTTTAAACAGATGTGGATAGTCGGCATATCCTTAGCATTTTGTAGAACAGATTCTAATATTAGTCACATGGATAATGTAAACAACATTGCCGATTGTGAACAGCAGTGAGCAATTGTAAGTAATGTAGTTTTGCAAGGTATGTTAGGGGAGGTAATTGTGCCTTAGTTAAACCAATTATCAAGTAATAACGAAGACACGATTGTAGCGTTGAGGACTCTAAATTAAAAGAGCTAGTTATTAGATAGAAAAGGTGACTTTAAGAATGGATAACAACACAAGATGGAATGTAAAGAACTTTCTTTCCAATTTTTTTTAGCATTCAAACTAGACATTGGTTTGATTACTAAAAATGCTATCAAAATTCAATAGTTCAGTGGGATAGTTCTATCCTAAGCATAATGGAAGTGTTAAGTTACATCAATATGGGGTATAATACATAATAAACATATTTATTTAGTTACTTCAACTAAAGACATGTTAACTTTGTAAATTAAATTGTGGCAATACCATATTTTAGGTATCTATACAAAACTGTTACTAGAGGTGCTCTAGACACATGAATACAAGATGGCATTATAATAACATGGCAGAATGCTATTTGATCATGCTTGTAATATTTAATTATAAAAACGGAGTATATCGAAATGTTAGGTCGTTATTTAAACCCAACTTAAATGTGAATTTAATTTATGTTTATACCGAAGAGTGAAATCTTGATATATTATAATTTTATAATTATTGTATAATCGAATGTTACAGTGGTAATACTTGTATATAAAAAGACACTACATGTTATTTTACGGTGGGATCAACTTATCTGTTGATTTAGATAGAATTGCAGTAAATAAGGAACTGTGAGTACTGCTGAACGGTTTTGTCTATTTTGAACAGATGGTTGGTGCAATAAACAGTTTGTAATAAATGTATATAATAAATTTTAGGTTTCAGTAGCCATGACAATGGCATCACACTTGATAAGTAATATTCGTAACTCTACTAGATTCAGTTCTAGAGTACAACTTTGTTTTCAAAATATCAGTCTAATTTCGGTACTTTGTAATAATATTCGATCATGCTTTGATAAATAACTAACAAACAATTACTGAAGTCCGAAAATTACACGAAAAACAACAATAAAGTAAAAATATAATGATAAATCATGTCATAGGCTACAATCCTAAGTTTTGTATAAATTAAATTAAGCTTTTGTAAACATACATAGCTATTAGGTCTGTGAGTTTTACGTTTATGAATTTCCAAATGCAGTTATATGTATGTGTGTATGCGTAAGATTTTATACGAATTTGTCTCAAGAAGAATTGAATTGAAATCTGTTTAATATTGAACAGACACCCATACATGAAGCTCCTCCAATCTGCAAAAGGCATTTTATAATGTAGGAATTATGGGGTAAATCACAGGGGTAAATGCACTAATGTGAAGTCATTCTTATGTTTTTTGGTAATAAAGTAAAGACGACAATGTCTTTATTTTAATACCAAAAAAAAGGAAATATGTTGCGTAAAAAGATTGGAGAGTTGCAGATTGGAGCAGGTTTACTTAGAGTAGGTATCTATAATCTGTACCTACCTGATACTGGTGGACAATGAATACCTTACTTATCGTCATTTTTATTATGATTTGTATTCTTACTATGATATAAATAATAGAAATAGAAATTAAATAAAAGATTGCGTCTTATAAAATATACTTACAAATTCAGTATCTAATTGTAATGATTATAATAAATAAAATAGTTTTTATTATGGAATATTCACGACAACCGCGTCTTGGTAAATGGCCTAATTTCATTCTCCACCAGTGTATTTTTTAAATACATTAATTTGACATTTTTAGCAACGTAAAATTAAATTATTATTCTGATAAAATTGATTACTTGTCTTCTATAAATTTTAGGTCGTTAGCCAATTTTTCTACTTACGCAAAATACATTGCCCATTGCATAGCGGAGCTATGTAGTATAATTTTAGTTAATAAAGCTTAGTGATTTAGCTATTCACAAATGTGCAAAAATATATTTGTGGCGTAATCTTACATGTACCTATTTGTAAATAATTACAATTAAAAATAAACAACTGCCACAACAGCATTTGTTTTATTAGAATGTTACCTACGTCTTTAAATCCCCTATTATCAACCCAGAAAACCAAAAAACTAGATCTCAAGAAGCACTCGACTGTAGCTCTCTGTATAAGTAGAAAGTTGTAGTCGATTTATATAAAACATTTATACTGCCGATTCTGGTTTAACCTTAGTTTTGGTACCAAGTTATAACTTGAAATCTTATGAGTTTTCAAAATACATGTATACAGTAGTTAGTGATATATTTATCCCGAGTGGTATTATTTCAGAACGTTATTAAAGATTTAATGTGTAATTTCCAAACGATTGGCTTGGGCAAATGTCACTTTGACAGTAAATTGTCAACAAATTATTGTGAAAATGGCGACTACCGGAGTTGGTTTTCGATGGTTAGATTTATTAGAAAAGGAATTCGACAAAGCATGTGTCGAGTTAGATACCTCTTTAAGTAAGTAAAACTTGTTCATCTATGTTTAATTATTTTTGTGTACCCATATCCGTTATATTAGTAATATTTTATGAGTGTTTTATGGTGCTGTTAACCACTGGATTTTCGCAAAATCCATAAGTTTTATATCAAATAAACCATTTAAGAAATAAGTAAATACCCTTAGCAACATAAAACATGTATTTTTTGCATTAAACGTGTACGCACACTTCAAACTATGACCACTTGAATCAAATTCGTATCGTGAGATAAAGTTATCGTCCGAGTATGTTTTATGTTATTGTTCTCATTACCAAGATCGCGTAAAATCAACAACGTCTCATGACACATGGTTCCGAAGCTGATATACTTGTCAATTTGATGTTGTTTCATATAATAAAGGAATATTTCACTTATGTATACATCAAATCGTTTTCTTATAAGAAATGTTTGATTCTCAAGCATTTTCACAGCATTGATTGTTGCAAACAAATTACGTGATTTAAATAACAAAGTCCATATATTTGCAAATATACACCAGACATATAACACCAGAGATCTTTAAATAAACTCAATGTAAGAAAATCTTTATGAAATCAGATCATACAACAATTATTCTTGTTGTCTTATATATCTATGATCTACAAAACAAAATTTGCAGCGTATTTACAGTTTATTATCTATTTATTCAAATAAAGACAGAATAGTTTATGTATTTGAAAATATTATTTGTAAATTACAGCAGAGTTGGAGACGGAAGAGCCAGAGGTGGTGTTTGTGTCGCGTCAAAAGATTGCTACACTCAGCTCATGTTTTGCACAACTCACACACAAGGCACTTACAATATTTCAGAACAGTGCCAAAATAGAGGTATGTTTATGTTCTTAAGAAAATATCAGTCTATAGAATTTTTAAGGAATGCTAGTTTTTAAATGGTGGCAATCCTGGAACTATGTGTAATATAATATCAACGGTTGAAAGGCTTATTGATCTAAGCGACATTTCTTTTATGATAATGTTAAATACCCATACCATGATGAAGGAAAATTCACTGAATTAGAACATGTACTTAAACTCAACATCACAAAATATGTCACATAGATCAATTAGCCTTTGAATGTTCGATAGAAACGTTATCTAAAATCCTGTATTCTGTATGTTTGTGAAAGCAATGGTTACTACTAACCAATTGAAATGTTATGAATAGTCTGGATTCTAGATTTTGCTGTTGCTGGTTTATTTCTTTGACAGTTAGACTATTGACTCTCTTTCTCTATTAAAACAAAATAAACCAATCACTAGAATAGGTCAATGCATACTTACCTCCATTTCAGACTTAGATACACAATATTTTATTTTCCGATATAATGTCATATAAAAGGCAATTTATGCTGAAATACTCAAATCTCACTGAATTTAAAGTCCTTAAGCAGGACTTAGGACTAGGATATAGTTCTGTCACTACGAATCCTTTTTAAAATGACAGCGATGGCACAATATTTAAGGTCAACTTAAAATTGATTAGCCTTTCAGTATTCATTGTTTACCGAGTTTAAGGTGTTAGTTACCTTTAAAATGAGAGACTACTAGAAGTTTCGATAAAAGAAAAAGACGCTAGTGGCTCCATTTGTTTACTCCCAAGTGTATGATCGTTTGCAAAAAGTTTTTTAGTAGTCTAGTTTGCAAATGGGGTTCATGTTTTGATGATTAACTTCATAATTCTACACAACCTAATCACCATTATTTCAATTGTTTGTTCAGCTGTTCTATTGCTAAGTACTCAATTCAAAGACAATCTCTACTTAAATATACTAGTGTAATATAAAATTGTAATGAGCATTATTTTAGGGCATATAAATAGCTAACTGTTTATGCTGTTTAAACTTTTCATAGTAAAAACTGTTTAGAGTTCAGAAGTTAATTTAATATGCAGTCATTTTGCACCAGTTATGTTACTCTCATTCTCATACAATATTGGGGATATACCTATTACCACACCACCCACAATTCTTTAATTTTTTGATACTGAGCACAATAATAATTTGCTAGATCTGGAAATCGAATCCGAGATTCTTTTCTCGCTGCCATTTAACCAACGAGGCAGTCATTATTTTAAATTAACAGGTATAGGTACTATTAAAATGAAACACTAGTATGTTGTTATAGAATTTATATTACAAACTTAAACGACAACTTTGGTTAGTTAATATTAGGGCCGCGATCGTAGGGATGTTTGTGCAGATGTCTTCGGTGCGGCGGACGCGTGGTTGTGGTCGCCATCCTCTCAGAGACTCCACCGCTCAGGATGTCCTTATCAATTCCCATGATATCTCCTCCTCCACCGTCGTCAAAGTAACCCGTGTCGTCGTCCTCCCAATCGAACTCTTCTGATTCTTCATTACTGAAATGTTTGATGGAATTTTAATAATGACCACGGGGAGTATAATAACTAATGTCTAAACCTTCGGGACTTTTGAAGTCAGCATGTTACTGTTATTATAATTGAATGCATTCCTACGTTACGACCATGATGGTGTCTCAATGAAATAGGACTTCAGTTACGGTAGTCGTTCACCATCCTACAGCTCGTAAACTTGTTATTGCTTTTGATGATAGTAAAAAGGTCCCGAACACCACTTACTTAATTCCTTCCAATTTTTCCAATAGTCTATCAGCCGCTGCTGTCACCTCTGATGTTGGTTCGTCATCTTTTAAGTGGGCTTCCAATCGCTGCAATGCTGCATCTGCTCGATCGGTTAGTGATACGAACTTTTCAGTCAGTTGTCGAAGCTCATTTTCTTTTAAAATCGTGTGAGATGTATTACGGAAAGCTCCTTCTAAACGTCTGCAAGTAGCATCCGTCTGGAATTCAAAGAAAAAGGGTAAATAAATAAATATAATGTAATAGCAGCAGAGAAAATCTTGATCATTATGATCTTGGGATAGACATTCGATATTATACCTGTGGTATACGTGTCGCATTCAGGATCTTAACCACTCTGCTGTTATATTTATTTACGTCATTTTGTATCTTTTTTAGCTCATGGAATGTAGAAGATGTTCTGAAAATACGTAAATTGGATTATTAGAAAATGTTAACAAAATAAAAGTTTTGAACTTCGGTGTTAAATGTGAAACTAACTTCAACACTAGTTACTTAAACACTGCACTCACTTATCTCTCTACATCTATACAAATTCTTAATAAGTAACGATGCAGTCTTGTTTAATAATTCATTGTTACTGACTGTGTTTGTGACCAAGTACATGTAATCGTGTTTCGTTTCCCAGTCGTAATCGCAGTTTACATAAATCACTAGTTTGATGGGTAGAGTCTGTAGGAGAATAATTCATGATATACGTACACGCCAATTAACGAATCGATTAATTTCTCCAGCACGTCCGTCACAGACTTTGGACCGTCTTGCTGTACTTGCTGACATGAATCCACGAAACGCTTCTGTGCATCTATAAGTTCTTGCATCTGAAAAAGTTACACAATAAAAACGGGATTTGTTTAAAAAGTCTATAACCTTGTGTATTGAGAATATTGGTCAAGGATGGTACTTGTTTTTTTGCCAATTTAGTGATGCGGAGCTTGAAATACCTTCAAATCAATCCTATAAGAGTTGTCGCTAAGGCGCTTTGTAAATATAGTTTCTAAATCCGCTGTGTTAATCCTGGAATCACGTTGTCGCCTGGCTAAGGCCCGCAGGCCGTCAGCAAGTTCCCTTCTTGTGACGTTTACAAGGGAGAGTCCATCTCTCATCAATGATTCAAGCATCAAACTTCGATGCCACGTGTCTGCGTATGCGCCGTTAACCTGGGGAATTAGAAAATATATTAGAAAGTCTATAAAATAAAAACGCCATTTGTAATTATTGTGTTGCAAAGCTGAAGCTATAAAGTCGGGTCATATGCATTTGGCTGATTATTATTTTTTAAATTGTAGTAAGAAGTATGTTTATGCCGAGAGACAAAAATAAAATCCAATAAGAACATATATCAAATAAAAACACTCTGCAACTACTTAATGCACTCATATAGGTGCGCAGTATTTGTGATTACAAATGTGATGATATCGTTAGGGGATTCCCAAAGCGATACACATAATAATACTATAACGACAGCCGAATAGCTCAGGTTATTTTTGTAATAAGATAATTTTCCTTGTAGGTGTTAGAATTTGTGATATTATTAAGTTTGCTAAGGCGGATGCTTCAAAATAGTCTGCGAAATTCCAATAAAAGTAAGATAATTTAAAATTCTCGGGTTACCTTTTAAGAGAAACATATCGTTTTATAATCATACCTTTTCTAATAAATGTTTATGGCTTATAATATGGTTAGTTAGATTCCGAGCAATCTCGCCTATTTTCGCTTGACTACGTTCTAGCTTTTCACTGCTCTCTTTGATTGAAGCCTGGAATTAAAAAGTATTTAAAGTAAGTCCGCATTATTTTGCATACATTAACAGAACATTATTTCTGAACTAAAACAAAACCAACCTGGATATTAGTTTGCAGCATATGTAGCCTATGCTCAAGTCTTTCAGCTGTTAATTGAGCTCTTTCTAATTTTAAAGTCAATGTATTTTCTACCCGCTCTGAAAGCAAATACATGAATATTAGCGGTATCCTATTCAGCATGCGTACTACGTTCATTTGCTAATTTATTCATACCATTGCAGCCCAAAGCGGTTCCTTTAGTAGTTAATTGTACGTTGCTCTTGTTCATTCAATTGCGAGGGATATATGCCAGCAGATATTGCAAAAGCTGACCCATAGTAAAATAGGATATGACACAATAAGACTGCCGTACGTGACGATTCATTAGTTTCCCGGAACAAATTTAACTTTGTATTGTGGTGATGTGAACTCGGTCTAGTTCTTGTGCTGGCTGTAGACCAAAGACATTTTATGTAACAATGTCTTTTATTCTTATGGTTACTTAAGGTTTCTGTATCGATCGTCACTATAGCTGTAACATGATTCTATTGCAATATCTACGCACAGTTATTTCCCTTGTCGCTTTTTATGAGGACAATTATTTACTCATTAGAATATTTTGAAATGCTTACCTAATTTGTCCTGAATGATATCTAACCTCCTCGCTTGTTTCGCCTGAACTGCACTTACTGTGTCTAAAACTCGAAGTCTCTCTTCTATGCTTGATAGAATGCTGGCGATATCCTGCAATAAAATAACAACGCTTATAATCTTATAAGCTACCGGCATTATTGTTCCTGGTTAACATTACCAAAATAAATGCTAAGCTTCTAATAGGTACGTATTTATTTATAAACTAGTTTATCGAAAGTAATCTACGAGAACATCATGATATTTCCGGCACTCTTCACCATACGTTTTGATGTCTGTCGGAGAACATATTATTATAATAGTTAAATGTGTGTCTCGTTTTTAGTTGGTGATTTATGAAATGTGACCTGCTTTGAGGTCTCGGATTAACTTTATATCATCGCATTTCTCCAAGAGAATTTTAATCTCTTAGTGCGCTTAAAATTTGACATAATTTTCTCTTTATCAGTTCTTATTTTAGTTTGATTATTTGTCTGACAAACTTCAATCAGGTCCACTAATTGCAACCGTCACACCTGGTATTTTGTTTTTGTGCATCGCGTGCATATTGGTCGTTACTTTTATTTGTTTTGGATTTCAAGGGATGTGTGTCTTTTACTACTCTTCGTTTTGGGTTATTCTGAGTTTCATGTCATGCAGTTAATCTATGTCAATTATTGTAATAAGTCTTCATTATATTATTATATAATATTCATTAGATACATTTTTCGATTGTAAATCTCGTAGTCGTTAAGTTTAGCGTGTCAAGTATCTTACTCAATGTCCATTGATTGGCTACTCATGCTTATTATTGCCCAAGCTCAAACAAGTTTGAAATTCATTCAATTTCGTTTTCCAGTAACTTATTGACACTGGTAATTTATCGGTTCGACACACGAGACAAGCGGTATACTAGCCGTGCGTCGAAAATCTCTGGATTTTCTAATGCAAATTGTAGGTGTGGGTAACATTTGGTGATTGTTGATTTTGCTAATTCCATGAATTTGGTATGTGTGTCGTGGTGGCTCGGAGGTTTAAGAGGCCCGCTTCTCATGCATGAGGGTGCGTTCGAAATCTACCAACGACAAGTAGCTACCAATGTGACTTTTTCCGAGTTATATGTACTTTCTGAGATTATCTAGAACACCACTGACAAACGGTGAAGGAAAACATCGTGAGGAAACCTGGGCTTATAATTTCTAATTATAAGTCTGTAATCGCCAACCCGCATTGAGGAAGCGTGGTGATTAATGCTCAAACCTTCTCCGTGTGAGAAGAGGCTTTGTTCAGCAGTGGGCATCTATAGGCTGTTGATGTTATGTGTTGATGATGACTTTGTAAGAGTAACATGCCATAATGATCAACATGCGTATCTCGATATTGAAAAAGAAAATGAAGACTAAAAGTCAGGTTTCATAAAGTAGGTTTTTAGTTTCTTCAATGTTATAGCTATAATAAAAAGTGCGTGTGAGGTGCTTATCTTGTGTCGTAACCGTTGAAACTCCACTTTAAGCCTTTTATTCGACGGCAGTGCAGTATTTACAGGGTTGTATTTACCTTGGGGTTCTGTGTGGTTAGCGCTTGCAAGCTGTGCTCGGCGGGCGAAGCGCGCGCCATGCAGAGGCACGCCAGCGCCGCCACTGCCGCTCTTAACATCGCCCCGTCTGTGGAGCACAATGGTTGTGGTTGTCTTTGTCAATATTTAAGGGACAACAGGGACTAGACGAAACCGTTAATGAAAAATATAGTCACGGAACTTGGCGATTCGTTTACGTGCCACATTTTATTTGATACCACCTAACAAGCTCTATTTACTATCTATATTTACTGACATCAAAATTAATTCTGCTGCTTTAAGTGTCACTACTGTTTGAAATACTTTGTAGTATTTGTTTTCAAGACGTTAGATTGTAGTAGCCCCAGCAGCAGCAGTAGCAGTTGCACCTTTTCTTATGATCGTAAAAGCGCTGTCATTTAGGAATCTCACTATATTGATAGGAATTACGGAAGTCAATTTAACGATGCTTTTATAAAGGCGCTGCTTTTTGGATTTTGAAACGTGACTCAGGGAAGTGTCCTATATACTATTTCAATTCTACAAGGTAGTGAAATTAGACACTGTTGTGTTTGCTGTTTTCATCCGTATACGTAACACAAAAGAGTTTAAATACTTACTAACATCTCTCGATCAAGATATAAAAACAATAATCATTCCAAAATTGTATTCTTAAATCATATATCACAGATATCTATTGACAGACTATGACAAATATGATGTTGTTACATTAATATACAGCCTAAAATGAATGGACTGAATCAATAAGCCTACAAGTGGGCGGCTTTTAGTTTTGAAACTTACTCATCTATTGTGACAATTATTGCGTAAATGTTAAACGAAAACTTTCGACACAGCTTAGATGCGAATATAAAAATATAATAATATGATTTACGATTTCACACCTGCTTAGCGTGTCTTGTTGAGGTCCCGTCGTGAAAACCATCGTGAAGGTTTTGTATGAAAATGTTCTGTAATTCTAAACAAACAGTGCGGCACTCGCGTGGCGGGGTCATTGATATCAGTAAGCGGTTCTTATAAGCATGCGACTCCGCTAAAGTAATTTCCTAAAGGTACGTTTATTTACCTTATAACCACACACAAATCGATTAAAGTGAGTACTGTGATTGCTTTAAAACCTCCATCGAAGACCTCTATTATCCTTTAATTGGACTCAGTACGTTATTGCTGGGAAGTAATTACATATCTTCATATCCAATGTTATCGAGGAATAATGAAGTGCAGGGACTTATAGACGAGTATACACTGATGCTGTCTATTTTATTACAAGTCTTACAGACTGTAATTAAATTGTTTTATTTCTCTTAATCAAGATAGGTCTGCTTTTGGTAGAAAGTAGGTATTTTGAATTCTGTAGAGGACGTAGTAGGTACTAACTGTTTTGGTATATAAGTTTTAAAAGCTGAAATGCGAAAATCACTAATGATATTATACATAGCCTGGACCTTTCAGTAGCGTTTTTTAACAATTCTGAAGATATACTTAAAATTAATTATGGCTGTTATATACTGAGACTTAAGTATTAAGTGCAGTAATTACATTAATCTAAAAATACCTACTAACAGAGCTTTACAAGTTCACATCATTGAGTCATATCTCCGGTTTAGATGTGCGCGGGCGCAGAGCAAAGCTATGCGCTGGACACAAATATGGAACAAAATATTCTCATATTTGTGTCACAATTAGATCCACCCCACTAAGTGAAGTGATGATGACTAGTGACTACAATAGATTAGTTTCCCGTTTTCCAAGAATTTTTTTTAGAAAATCTCAATATTATTAGAACCTTGTTCTGATGCCGTTAAATTAATTTTGTTTGATTTATTTTTTAATAAATTTTGTTTAATCATAGCGCACATATGTAACAAATCTACAGTAAAAAATCTCATTTAAAATGATCATTAATTCGCTAAAATCGCCTGAAAATTCCTTTTAACTTTTAGCATATGAGGATAATTATGTAAAGGTTAAGTACGCATTGTTTTATTAAAATGCGTAGTCAAGGAATGGGCTGTTGTGACAAATTTATAACTTAACAATTTGTATTGATTTTGTGCCAAATAGTATAGGCACGTATAACTATTTATTTTAATTATTAAGGTAAATATACGTAAAGTCATAGACGTGGTCATAAATATCAGGCATATACCGTGAACAAGTGTTCAATTTTTTTGCATGAGTGTAGTACATTCCAACAGGCCTATTTGTAATATCATTAACTCGTCGAGTACCGGTTTTATAGACACAATTAAAGAACAATAGGTCGCGGTCACCGGTGACCGCTTGGTGTTTGACAGTTTAATGGAGATGTATTAAACATTAGCAAGTGTTCCTTTCATGCTGATGGCAGCATAATGTTAGATCCGTGCTACCGTAGGTCGCGGCATGACGTGCATTGTTTATTTGTCTGATCAGCGACAGGTGTACGGGCCCGTCCTGTTCATGTGCATCTATTTATTTGCATTCCGGTATAGTTCGTGGACCCCGGCCTGTCGGATTATCATTGTCTAGCTACGCCCACATAACTAAGGTCAGTCTTTCATCAGACTTAGCTCTCCTCCTGTTTAACGTACACCACATGCTTACGCAATCGTAATACGTCTGCTGTTTGTTATCATGTTAGTCTGTGCTACATGAGATGGTTTATTTAGGGTAAATAAATGGACTATAACTACATATTTCTTTCTGTGTCTATACCCTTTATAATTTAATGTTAATTTGATGTGTAATTGATAAAATATCTCTGCCGTTATAGTGTCAGATAACGTTTAAAATCGGTTCCCGATACGACCAGTTTTCACATAGTCACGCCAGTTCCGGTGATCGTCCAAATTCGTCGCGGTCTGATATAGTTAAGATGCCTACAAAGGAAGTAGATCAGTGTAGTTCTTAATTGACTTTCGATCAGATGTCGAAGCAATCGCATCTAACGGCAATCATTATTTACTAGCGCATCGAGTGTTTCATACTGACGTGATCAATGACAGCTAAATCATGATGGAGTGAATGACGACACACCAATTTCTTCTAATGAACCTTCATGAAAGGGCGTCCCGCATGATTAAATATCGATAAAGAAAGCACACGCACCCGAAGTGAACACAATACTTGTTGAGCATGTCACGACAACTCGGAAAGAAATATTACTGTATGTATGAGATCAATTGACGAAACCCCGTCATTATATTTTTGTTCCTGTTACATACCTGGAGGCAATCGAAATTCAGAAAGGGAAAAGGAATGCACGTTTGTTGAGTGCGTCGACCTCGCAGTACTTGAAAACATGCGACCCGGGTGAGAATGCAGAAATGCAAAGAAAATAATTTATCAAAAACTAATTATCATTTATATGAGTAATCCTGCTAAGGACCAAAGTCGTCCGACCTTTCTAGTGAAATTTCCTGAAATATTCATATGAGCAAAGTTTAGTATTGCGTACCTATATGAGTGCGGCACGGGGCAGACGGATGTGTTACTGCAATTTACCGCCGCCGCAGCTAGTTGTCAAAGTTCAGTAGAACTGGAGGCGAGCCAACGCGGCTACAGCACGCACTTCCAGGTGCTACACGCTTTCATTGCTTTCATTGGTACATATTAAGTTTAATGAAATCATGAAGTCATTTATTATTGTCAAGATATAAAAGTCCTATTGTGTATCAAACATAATTAGCTTAAACTGCTTCAACAGATAGGATTAATAGAGTATATTTGTTTCACAAAAGTCATTGGCCTTTTCGTCCTTCTCTCGTCTTATTGTGGACGAGCTTCCTGGTGAGATCACGTTTATTTTGTAGCAGCATTCTCTACCCCTTTTGTCTACATGCTTTAATCGGTCCCATGTTTTGAAACAATTTATTTGTACGGATTGGTCGCGTCAGGCGGGACAACGGTGAAATTAATCTGATTCTTTTCTTGCCGAGTCACGCTGCTTCCGTCGTTAAATTAAAATGTAGGGAAAAGGGATTTCTTATTACTTTTTATCTCGAAAGGCGTTATACGTGCGCCATTGTTGTGCATCATAATATAATGGAAGCGTAGTTGCATGGACCACCCGAGACTTCTCACTGAGCATTTATTTTACGTCTCTCTCTTGTTATTTGATTCTTTTTCCGGCTTTAATCATTATTGACACTCGTAATACCTTGGTAACATTATTGTAAACAATACAGAAACAAAAACGTTAACGATTAATTGCCACTTTAGTAAAGATGTGACTGACCAGTGATTTAATTGAAATCTGGGTTATTAGTTTTGTGAAACGAAATAGTCTATTTAGAACATGGTTACGTCATATGCACAAATGTTCGGACAAATTCAAACCACCGTCATTTACATCTCATAAATGTCGGTAAACATAATTAAGATACATAGCAACTGTATACGCAGGCAAATCCTTTTAATTTATTGTGCCTACATATTTTTTAAGTAGCTGCAGTAGAAAGTCAATAAAAATGTTAACATGGCTGTAATGGAAGTTTAAATAGGATATGGGCGTGACGATTAAGTAGCCAGAAGAAATGTCAATAAATTATACCTCGTGTCCATTGGTTAAGAACTCTGAGTCGGTATCTAAATATTATAACCGATATAAATCATTTGGACATGTTAGCATTAACATATAATAAATATTCAGTTAAATGACTATCAATACCGTTTCATTACGACAGTACCGCGCCTACCGCGTCGTGATCACATTGTATAGCCCGGACTCGCGGACTTAAGCAAAGTTTACCTGTCTGCGACTACGCGGCCTTCGTGGAATGTCGTCGGGTAGCTCATTATAAATTTGCCTTTATGTTGCAATTTCATATGAGTCACCATTTAAAATAAATAACCGCCGTACTCAATTCATCAGAGAAAAGAACTAAAAAATTCAATGAGAGCTCTCGCGTTAAAGTTCCTTCGTCATTCAATTTTAACAACATAATTACTACTTAGGATGGACCCTTGAATTATGCTTGTCCCAATTATGTAGTTTCAATTAATTAACCAGATTGTTAAATGATAGTGTTATGGTGTACGACAGGACCTTCATTGCCGGTTTTAGATATAAGGATAGATTGCCTATTCAATAGATATA